ATTGGTAAAACTTTTACCGAAACGTTTCAATTTATGAAACAAGTTTATGGCCGAAACTCAAAAAATCGCGCCTGGAGAAGTCAAAAGTGAAAGATAAAACTATTTGTTCTGTCTTTTTTTTTTTAAGTCCTGTTTACTTTGAAACGTACTTTGAATTTACGTACATTCGAATATATTAACATAAGCGCAGTCGGTACCTGCGTATTATAACTTTTTTTACACTTTTCTCTCACGCCGAAAATATAACGCGTTCACATTCATACGTATACACATTTGTACATACGATCTGAATATGGTCGTATACCCAATATACAGAGGGTAAAATTACATATTTTTTAATTCATTTATTCGTTTAAAAATCGGTTATTTTGAAACTAATTAAGCGGAGCGATTAAAATTAATTAAATAAAAATATCTCTTCATTCCATTTTAGCATATGCCCCGCAATATCCCTTGTTCTTGCAAACAAAAACAAGCAGGATTGCGCACAAATAATTCGTGCATACCTAGTTACAAAGTGTATTGATCTCTTTAACGAGCTCTCAATTGCATAAGTACATAAATATATACCTACAAGTCCACGCACGGATGTAGGGGTATGTAGCCCTAAATAAGGACATAAAAACGTTAAATAAATAAAAGTTCGATTGTTAATACATTAAAAAATAAATACGACCGGTAACTATAAAAACTAAATCCGCGTAACAAAGAGTTCGCGGTTATACATACATACGGAATTTAAAATTAATTTTTTCGAAAAAAAAATAAATTTACTTAAAAGAGTTTCGTTATATACGAGGATATAGCTTGAATCTGGTCGGCACTGAGGAATTTTAAATTTATTTCAATCTTTTCTAAATGAGCTCAGATTCAAAAGAATCCAAAACAGTCTCTTAAAGTACCCAAAATGATTTCTGAAGAAAAACTCCATATACACCTGCAGAAGCTACACGCTCAAAGCAAGGTGCTACATAGCAAAAACGAGTGAAAGATATTTCATACACCAAATTTATCTCTGAGAGTGACAGTCTAATACGATACTGCACTCGATTTTCATCTTCGCCGATTCAGGACAATTCTGAATCGATATTAGAAATCAAAAAGGGAAATCTTATTAATTTTTGGACACGTCTCCAATCTGCATATGACGCAAGAGTAGAATCTGACGGCTCTGATCTACCTGAAAATTTTAAATCCTCGGCCAGCTTAGACCAGTTTGAAGAAACAAAAGCAATGATTTCGGATCAATTGAAATGAATTAAAGCAATTGCACCTACTCCATATCCGAGAGTAGAGCTGCCATAAATTGATTGTCAAGAGTCAAATTCAGGCATCCATCTCAAGGTGCCCGCAGATGATACAGAAATCTTTCATGGTGGTTATGAACTATGGCCGTCCTTCCGGAACATGTTTACAGCCGTATACATAAACCACTCAAATTATCAAATGCACAAAAATTGTATCACCTCCGATACAAAACGAAAGGTCAAGCAGGCGTCATAGTCAAACAGCTCGCACTAAATGACGATAATTTTAATATGGCTTGGTAAGCTCTAAAAGCAAGATACGAAAATGAAAGAATATTGGTCGATAAGCAAGTAACGATAGTAATTAACTTGCCTAAAATTCAGAAAGAAACAAGTGAAGAATTTATAACACTACAATCCACTGTTTCTAATTGTTTGTCGGTTCTATCGACACAAAATATTCCCACAGGCAGCTAGGACCCTATTCTGGTAAATATTATATATGCACCGCAGCCTTACCAGAAAAATCGTCACTTTTGTGGGAGAAATCGCTCTCATCCCAGAAAAAATTCCCAATGTGGCAGCAAATGAAAGAATTTCTAACTACCTAGTATGAAATAGCAGAAAGGGTAGACAAAAAACTAGTTAGAACTAATAACGTTCCAGAAGCAACAACAATTTAAATAGAAGCTTTTTTGAAAATCAATCGTTCACATCTTAACAGTATAAACAAACGTCATGCGAACTGTGTACAGGGCATAACCTCAAATCTTGCGGGAAATTCATAGCATTAAAATTGCCGATAGGAACAATTCTGAGAACAAAAAAACTTTGCACAAACTGCTTGTCACGTGAGCATACTCTAAAAGAGTGTGAAAGCCGCAAAAGACATCATTCAGTGTTACATATCACAAAATTTTCCAGCTCACCTCACATTAATCATAAAATGACTTTGGGATTAATTGCAACAGCAAATCCCGAAATACGAAATCCCGAAAATTGCCAAGAAACACCATTCTGCTCAAAGACATTAAAAACTCAAACGCTAAACAACGAAAACCAAAGTAGGGTACTACTACCCACAGCAGTCGTCTCCATCGAACTCCGAGGAGAACTGCTTAAACTTAGGGCCTCAAAGATCACAACGATCTCTTATAGCGTCTAGGGCACAAAATAGGTTACAACTGCCATTCTACCTGCCTCATCACGCAGTAGTAAAGCCAGATAAAAAAACAACAAAAGTCACAGTGGTCTTCAATGCCTCAAGATTCACTAGCTCAGGAAATTCCCTAAATGATATTCTTTTTACGGGACCCACACTCCAACCAGATTTAATGCTTCTCATATTAAATTGGCGTCTATTCACCTTGAGAAAATGTATCGACTATAAATTAAAAACAGTTACCTTTGGCGTCAACTGTGCTCCATATTAAGCCATTCGAACACTGCACGAATTGGCAGAAAACACAAAGTCAGAATTTCCTCTGGCAACCGAAGTGTTAAAAACTCAAACGTATGTAGACGATATCCTGTCTGGAAGTCACAGTCGTTCACAAGCATACGAGTCACTAGCACAAGTGACACAAGCCCTCAAAACCGCAGGGCTTCTGTTAAAAAAGATAACGGCGAAATCCCTAATATCTTAAAGGACATACCTAAAGAAAATCAGTTGGACACTAGTTTCCTTAAATTCGAAAAGGAAAGTACAACAAAAACTCTGGGGGTACAATGGAATGCGATATCTGACCAGTTTTCACATACTAAAGAATCAATATCATTTCGACCCCGCAGGATGGCTTTCGACAATTATGATATAAGCCAAAATCCTAATACAAAAATTATGGTTAGATGGAACCGATTGGGATGAACAAGTAAAACCACTTCGTTTAGGTAAACTATGCCCCAGAGCACAAAGTCGAACTACACGGCTTCTGTGACGTCTCTGAAAAGGCATATTGCGCAACGATATATGTTCGCTCTCAAAGCGACACTGCGACCACAAGCCACTTACTAGTAACAAAAGCCAAAGTAGCTCCTGTACAGACAATAAGTCTACCACGACTTAAACTGTGTCAAGCGCTACAACTAGAAAAACTAGTATCCATGATGCGAATGCAAGTTCATAGAGCGACTCAAAACTAAACATAACCTCTTAATATTCCCAATGCGATACATTGACGCACCTAGGCTTACAAAAAGCAAAAGTCGCTCTTATCGCATATACTCAAGCGCACTACTTCAGCCGCGATATATCACTATCGAGAGAATCAAAAACTTTTGATAAGAGAAGTCCCCACTTAGTTCTAAACCTATTCCTCGACACGAAAGGTCTTCTTCGTGTGAATGGTCGGCTTGTCAATTCAAGCCTAACGTATAACGAACGCCATCCCATAATTGTACCAGAAAAGTCTCGACTTGTCACATTACTCATCAGTTATATCCACATATTAATGCTTCATGCCGATCATTGCCTTATGCAACATATGGTCCGCCAGGAATTTACATTCCCCGACTTAAGCCCCAAATAAAGAAGTGCATTTTCTTGTGCAAAATCTGCACCACGCACAAGCAAAAGATGCGAACACAGATTATGCCTTTCTCCATCACAGGTGTCGATTTTGCTGGGCCTTTTCAAATAAAGGCGTCAATGTTAAGGTCCCCCACTCTGATGAAAGGCTATGTGGCTGTCTTTGTCTGTTTTACGACAAAAGCAGTGCACCTTGAGCTTTCTACTAATCTGACAAATGAGGCCTTACTTGCGGCATTTGCTCGCTTCATAGCACGACGCGGCTTTCCATCGAAGATAATGAGGAACAATGGTAAGACATTTATCGGCGCTCAACGAGCCACCAAAAAACAATTGTGTGCACTTTATTAAACAAATCTCACCTGAGATTGTAAAAAAGTACGCGCCTCAAGGCATTAATTGGCAATACATCCCCCCAAGCGCTCCTCATATGGGTGGTTTATGGGAATCGGCTGTATAAAGCTTCAAAATCCACTTCAAAAAGGTAGCTGGAAATTACAAATTTAATTACGAAGAATTCACAACATTTTTAATTCGAATTGAAGCCGTTCACAATTAACGGCCTCTTACAATCCATTCGCAAGATCCCTCCGATTTCACAGCCTTAACACCTGGGCATTTTCTCAACGGAACACCCATTCTGGCCATAGCTGAGCCAGGCCTGAAGTCGCTATCCGTATTAAATTCCTGGGAAAGAATTAAAACTCTCCATCACGATTTCAACCGCCGATGTAAAGAAGAATACATAAAGGATCTCCACAATAGATACCGTTGGAAGACCCCTGAACAAGCGCCAAAACTTGGAGATTGTGTCATCATCCATGATGATTGTCTACCTCCTACCGAATGGCGAATTGGGCGCATAGAAAAGCTACATTACGGCTCCAACGGTCACATACGAGTAGTTGATCTGCGTACGCAAAGTGGAATGCTAACCAGACCGCTCGTGAAGCTATGCTTTCTACCAACCGCCGATAATAGGGACAAAGCAATTCGCAAACAATTAACCGATACTACCGCAATACAATAAAATAATCAAATCAAGAAGAAAAAACCGAAAAACTCGTTAATAACCGTTAAAAATAACAAATAACTAATAAAAAATGGGCGATCAATACGACGACCCATTCATTCCACATAGCGTGGCACGATCATCCATATAGTTTATATGACAAATCTACATAATCAAACAACTCTTTTATACAGATTAATATGAATATGGATACGCCAATGACTCCAACGCCAACTGTGCGATCGGCTACCAACGTGCCACGCACTGGGCCTTCCATAACGCCACTAGGCCTTCCCCGAGCCGCAGCTGCAACTACCCCTGCAACAGCACCTGCAACGACACCGGTAACGGCACCAGCTCCTCGTGGTGGCACACGACCACCATCACTGCCTTCAGAGGCAAATTGTATACGATGTCCCATATGTCGGCGCCCACACCGCCTGCAACATTGTTAAAGGTATGCGACCGTGCTGTGCCAAATTTGCAGCAGACCACATCACACGCTACTTCATCGCAGCTCGAGGCGCGACGTCGGTCGGCCACCTACCCTTCGAAGCCTCGCAACAAGACCTCAACTCGTGCGGTACACCCGTGGAATGGAACCGCAACAACCTCGTTCCACGGGTCTGAACAGCGATGTAGCAACGCTACAACAGCTGCAGCGACTACTAGGCTAATCATTTGCCTAGGGGGCTGGGATGGCTAAATGACCACTCAATCCCCACTCACCATAATAACACTGCACACCACATCAATTCACATCCACATCACCACACCTACTTACCATACATTACACATCACTACACCAACACGCACACAAATACAACATCACCACGATCACACCACCATGAAGACATCAACAGCATATAAGGGACTAAAAAAAGATCCCGCTCGCTATTTAGCATTCGATTCGCTAACGATCGCATCTTTTTCGGTTCGAGCCCCCGCCTAAATCTACTTCGTTTTTTTTTCATTGTTCCACTGATTTTACGAATGGTGAGTGAACTTAAAATTAATTTATTAGTTGTTTTAAATATATTGCTAGGAGTTCTTTTTCTATGGTAGCATATCTTTTTTCATGTTCATTGAGTGTTCTACTAACGAAACTGACCGGATGATTATCTTGGAGTAAGACAGCTCCGATAGCATGATTACTTGCGTCGGTGGAAATTTTAAACTTTTTATGTAAATCTGGGTATTTTAATATTGGTGGGTTGACTAAAAGGGTTTTTAAATTTTCAAATGAGTCGACATATTGTGGGTCTTTCAAATTTATTTTGATGTCTTTCTTTAGATATGTAGTCAAGCCGTAGGCAATTTTCGCATAGTCTTTCACGATTTTGGTAATTGGAGTTTTTGAATAGCCTGTATTTTTGCTGTGCCTGGTTTAACTCCCTCTGTAGTCAATACGTGCCCTAAATAGTATGTTGTTTTAGCGAAGAAGTTACATTTATCTATTTGTAATTTTAAATTATGTTTTCTCAACCTTTCGAAAACTTTATTTATGCTTGTTACATGCCCTTGTATAGAACTGCTTAATATTATACATATTTTATAATATTAGGATATCGTCTAGGTATATGACGCATATCACAGCAATTAAATCTCTTAATATGAAATTCACTAATCGTTGAAAGGTTGGCGGGGCATTCTTTAATCCGAAAGGCATTCTTTTGAATTCATAGTTCCCAAATGGTGTGAAAAATGCTGTTTTCTCTCGGTCGTTTTCATTTATTAGTGTCGTGAAGTACTGAGCTCGAAATTCATCGTTACCGTAACTTCGTTCAGTTTCCTGTAATCAATAACGATGCGCCACTTTTTTTGTGCTGAATTATCTAATTTTTTGGGCACAATCCACAAGGGTGAATTGTAAGGTGAGTTACTCTCTGTGATTTTACCGTGATCAAGCATTTCGGCTATTTGCCTTTTTAATTCCTGCTCGTGTATTTGGGGATACCTGTATATTTTGGAATATATGGGTTTATCGGTGCATAGGATAGTTTTTGCCCTTCCTGAAAGAATAAATCGCTATTTTTTGAAATGATAGTTTTGAGGTATTCTGCTTCCTCGGAATTCGTTTCCTCTCTAATTAACTTTTTATAAAGTTCTTCGTCGGCATTAATTGTTTCTAGTGCATGTACTTCATTGATATTAAAAGGGCATGTACCAACGAATTTCGTTCGTATGTTATTGATTTCGATGTATTCGTCCTCGAGGTTTATATGTGCCTTTAAGGGTGTAAGGATATTATTTCCTATTATCCCTTCAAGCTCATTAGGTTTTCGTCATTAAATTCTTTCGGTAATTCTGTTATAATTTCGTATTTAACTAGTGTTTGCCCGCTTAAGGTATTAAATGTAAAAATATTTTCTAGTTTTATTCGTTTATATTGTGGTAAACAGAATTTATTTAATAATGATGTCGTTGAGCCAGTATCTAGTAAACATCTAATTTTATTTTTAATTTCGTATTTAACTTGTGTTTGCCCGCTTAAGGTATTAAATGTATAAATATTTTCTAGTTTTATTCGTTCATATTGTGGTAAACAGAATTTATTTAACAATGATGTCGTTGAGCCAGTGTTTAGTAAACATCTAATTTTATTTTTGCCTATAGTGAGTTCTACTATCGGTAAACATGTCGATGGGTGGCTAAGTGAAAATGTGGTCTACCTCCATCGGCTCTGGTGCGGTGTAATTATTATGTCTCATTTGTCTTTATAAATGATCGGGTTGCCTATATTGCCTGGAGAAGCGATCATGTTGTGCTGAGTTATGATGATTTTGCCTGTATTGTCCTGAGAAACGGTCTTGTTGTCTTGAATTATAACTGTTTTGTCTGTATTGTCCAGAAGAACGGTCTTGTTGTCCTGAATTATAATTGTTTTGTCTGTATTGTCCAAAAGAACGGTCTTGTTGTCCTGAATTATAGTAGTTATGGCTTTGTGGCCCTTGGGACTGATCTTGATGGCCTGAAGTTCTAAAATTCTGCCTAAATTGTATTGAGGTACGTGACTGTCTATTGTAGTTTTTATCGTATCGTGAAAGTAAACCTGTTTCTTCGAGTGTATAATAAGCTTCCCTCAAATTATTTATATTCCTACTATGAATGATGCTACTCAAAGTGGGATCTATGCCGCTCAGATAAATTTTTAAAATTAATGATTCATTTTTCGTTTATATATTATATTATGTTTCGCTTATTTGGTTTTTTATATATTTTATTTATATATATATATTATTTATATTAATTTTATTTTAATATATATTCTTTCTTATTATTTTGTTTTTCACTAGAACATAATTTGATTATTGTCCTTTCATTATGTTTTTTCACTCGGACTAAATTTTGAGTCCTTTTGTATATCTTAGGATATATTTTCCGCACTGGACATAACTTCGGTTATTGTCCATTCTTATGTATCTTTGGATACATTATTTTTTAACCAACTGCGCCAATTAGGTCGAATGTACCGGCGGGAACCAAAAAAAACAATTAGTCGTTTGTTGTTAATGGATATACTTTATTTTATATTCTCCCATTTTGTTATTACAATTGTTCGCTTATATTCTACAGTAATGCTTACTTAGCTAAATATGCGATTTGGTAATGCAAATGAATTTCAAAGTTGAGAATACCATTAGGCAATACGGGTTGCTGACACTTTGTGTTTACGTAGCCAAACATGCATTTGTAGTCATTCTGACGAAATCGGAGTTATTGTTGCAATTGGGTCATTGGCTCCAACAAACTTGTAGTTTGTCATCATTACTTATTTGGGTTTTGGATTGCGTTGCGGTGACGTAACCAGCGCGTTGAAACTTTCGTCTCAATCGGCTGACAGTCCTCCTCTCCGAGGTTAACTCACGTGTCCACCATTTGATTTTCCTAACCATAACACTTTCACACTTCTTATGTAACCTATCGTTCACCCCCCACACTACCTCATAAAAACGAGCAACCTGCTCGTCAACCCCCAAATCCTCAAACACTATATATATACCTAATACCGCTTTCCTGACAGATCGTCCATATTGGTTCCAGTCCAGAAGTACGCTATCGCCGCAATGGATTCTCATACAGCGAGGGAGGGGATTTGGGAGTAACCATAATTTGGATCAAATTATGATCACTCAATCCCCACACTCCCCAGGCTTTTAGCCACTACCCATTCACTTAATGCCTCCCTCCACCCACAACAACGACAACGCCCCTCTTTTCCTGTTCCCCTTCTCCAAGTTACCCTTCACCGTGGTAATCTTGGCAGCATCTACCTCCACAACTTTAATTTCCGCGCCCGTTTGCTCCCCGTTGTTTTCGGCAAGAACACTCTCCTTCGCAGTTGTGTTGTCAACACTGCCCTTAGAACCGTCATGTGAGCGCGCTAACGATGGCGACTCAACGCGCGCTACTCTCTGCGGTGGGGACCTAACCGAAGGTCCCGCCCCTTCAACCGACGTGGAATCATCCCCTACCGTCGAAGCAGCGGATTCTCCGCTTCCAGCGAGGGTCTAACCCTCCTTTTCCGTGGAGGGGGCATCTCAGCCACGACTCCCTCCCAATCTGACTGATGCGCTGGCGTATCACTGACGCAAAAGACTCACTGACAGGAAGGATTCTGAAGCAGCTGCTCTCTGGGTGCGTGCGTCTGAACGCACTGGAAAATTCGACTCGCGCGTAGGCCTGTTCAGTAGCAGCGACCACCCAAGCGGTCGATTTACGCGATCTCGCAGGGGCGACAGTTAACAGTTCACTGCGTGGGTTAACATTTCACTGCTACACAATAATCGCAAACTCCAATACTGGGACAGACACCGGGACCCTTTGGGCAATCCTGTCCAGAACCTCCTGACACAGAGACTACTGAACTCCATATGCTCGAAACAGTACTCCTGGTCAGCAAAGATGCCAACAACACGATCCTAAACTGGAACCGTGCGATTATCCACCAACAACAACGTGTATGACCACGTTACGCAAATACCTAATGGTAAGCCTATACAATTCACAATGTGCACTTACCGCAATAACCGTTACCTGTTCACCAAATATATGCACAAATATTCACAAAAACGCGCAAAAGCATGCACTCGACCGAAAAACACACTCGCGGTTCCGTACCCGAGCAATAACAACGTACACGTTATTAGCGAATGCCCGCACAAAACAAAGTTCCACAATAAGGATATCGAAAATATCGCTTAAAAAATCGCAACTATACGCACGCACGTCTATCCGCGGCGAAATCCAAACAACGAATCTGAGGAAAGGGCACACAGAGTCAACAACTTCAGAAATCATAGCAAAACGAACTGGCTGGTGCACATGCAAGAGCTGGAAAAACGTTTCCCTATGATTCCGCCGTTTCAGCCCAAAAGCAAGGAGGACCTCGACATCCTAGTTAATGATTCATGGTATCTT